TGAAACACCCGTACCGTGATGTCAGGGCGGTCGGCGGCCGTTTGTCCGGGAGCGAGTGCGTCCTTGATCTCTGGCCAGTGGGGGTTGCACGTACGGGCGATGAAATAAGTTGGGGGGCCTTTCCGGCGTGCCAGTTCCAATGCGTCCATTCGGAGCCGCTTGAGATGGCGCGGGGAGCCAGGGACAGTGGAGGGGAGGTAGTACTTGGTGCCAATTGCGCTGGTGGGGATGTGTTCGTTGGCCAGAGCCTCGCACAAATCTTTGCGGCTGGCAATGCGAGTGCTTTGCTCTCTCCTGACCAGCGACAGCCTTTCGTCCTCCATCCGGCAGTACATGTTGATGAGCCAGTCGTTCAACAGACGCCCGCGCGCGTGCATGTGGGGCTGGCGGACGAGGTGCTGGCGGTGCCACCACATCTGCGTCACGTGGTTGCCGGATGTGGACACGGCGTCGGTGCTCCACCCGCGGCCGCCGCATGGGAACCACAGCGGGTAACTCAGAGGCTCGTAAAGGCAATGCAAGGGTGAAAGGTATTTTGGGCGGGAACCTGGCGTCAAACGGAAGCACACTGCCCTAGGTTCGGCGATGGCGTCGGGGCGTTGCTGCACTACTGCGGCCACTTCCTGGATGCCTTCGTCCCAGCGGAGGGTGACGGAAGCCTGTGGGGCACGGGGCCACACGGATTTGAGGTGCTGAACGTGCTGCATGTGCGGATTGTGCGGTATGATGAGCTTCTCCAGGTGGGAGACGATGGACAGGTCGAGGCCGTGCTCTCGTGCGCAAGTGCGGCGTTCGCGGTCGTCCACCACGAGGTACCGGACCGGCCCAGAGTCGGCAGCCGAGCACACTTTCCTGTACATGGCGCCGTGGATGCGAATGAAGGATGGTCTCAAGACGCTTCCACATCGGACTTCTCGTTCAGGAGTGGCGCTCTGGACTTCGGGGGCGGCGAGGCTCAGCAAGCTGTTGTAACGTCGAGAATCGGCAGTGAAACCCGTCAGCTTTGGTGCGTTGGTGATGTCGTCGTGCACGAGCCGGCCGTGCGTGTTGGTAACTGGCCACGTCCGTTGGAACAGCTTGAGCAAGGAGGAATCGGGCTGGGGGTAGTAGCTGTTGAAGTCGACGACGTATTTCCCATGACCGCAACAGAAGCCGCTCTCATCTCGCGTCGGAACAGGAATGCGCCGCAGTGCGAGCATTGGTGGTCCTGGCGGCCCAAAGACAGAGTTTGTACTGTGCTGGAGGGTCGGCCGGGCATTGTGCAAGCGCGGCACACTCCGAGTAATAAGTGGCGGCGACCGGTTCCGAAGTCGTCATGAGGGAGGACCAAGCCGCATTGAGCGCAGGCTGCGGTCTGACGGCCTTTGGCAATGCAAATGGCGCAGACGGGGTCAGAGGCGACCGCGCCTCGCACGGCGAAAGCGTCGGTCGGTTTGGTGTTTCCGCAGCTTACGCACGTGAAGGCGTGGGATGACCGAGGCGTCTCAGCGTCCGCGGCAGCGGCGACACACTGGATACATTTCTTCGTCTGTCTCCGCCGTTGTCTGCTACTGAAGCTGTCTCGGGGCAAATCGTCCCCACAGCCTGCGCAGAGTAAAGTAGGCTGGGGGCTGGCAGGGTTGGCGCTGGCCGCGCAACGGACGCACGTTCTAGTGGACCGCCGTCTCTGTTCCGTGCTGAAGTCAGACTTGGGCCAATCCTGTTCGCACACAGTACATCGAAGCATGTCTGCCGTGGACATGTGTGAGACCGCTGGAGCCCAAATGTTCACGGAGGAGTGGGAGGAGGAGGAGGAGGAACGCCAGATGGGTCTTTCGGAATATTCTGCGTGTTGTGTCCGGGTGCACGCTCTCCCCCACAAAACTCTTGGGGGCCTCCGGGGGCCTCTTGGGGGCCTCCTGGGGGCCTCCTGGGACATCCTGGGGGCTTCTTGGGGCCGAGGGCCCGAAAAGCAAATTCGGATCGGCCGTCTTGGGGGCCTCTTGGGCCGGCGTGGGCGGCTCTTCGGCCGTCTTGGGGGACCCTTGGGGGCCTCCTGGGCCGTCTTGGGGCTCTCTTGGGCCGTCATGGGGCCCCCACGGGTGCCTCTTGAGCCGTCTTGGGGCCCTCTTGGGCCGTCATGGGGCTTCCTTGGGGGCCGCTTGGGCCGTTTTGGGGCTCTCTTGGGGGCCTCCCGGGCCTTCTTGGAGCGTCGGAAAGCCGAAAAAGCGAGAAAGCCAAGAAACATTGGAAAAACCAATGAGAATCAACGATTTTCGCCTCATGGGCCCTCTTCGGAGGCCTTTTGGAGACCGCTTGGGGCGTGTTGGTGGCCTCTTGAGGGCGTTCCGGGATGTAATGAGATCTCTTGGGCCCTCTTGAGGCCATGTAAGTCCCGCTTGGAGCGCTTTGAAGGCGTTCGTTGAGCGTCTTGGCGGCTTTTTGTGCCGTCTGTGGTACTGTTTGGAACGTCTGGGACCGATCGTGGGCCGTCTGGGCTGCCTCTTGGACCATTTTGGGTGCGTCTTGGGGCTCCTTGGGGGGCCCTGGAGGGGTGTGTGTGGGCGCGGGCCCCCCCCCCCGGATCTCATGGGGGGGTTTCCCGATGTAATTTTATAGGATAAAGGAATATATAATATATATATATATATATATATATATATATATATATATATATATATATATATATATATATATAAACCAAAAAACTTCAGAACAGCGCTCTTTTTGGCCCGTTCTAGCCTTCCTGAAGGCCCTCTCGGAGGCCTCTTGGGCCGTCTTGGGCCAGCTTCGAGCCACCTTCGGCCATCTTGGTGGGCTCCTGGACCGTCTCACGCCGTCGGAACTCGTTTGGGGGGCCTTTCTGGGCCGACTTGGGGCCTATATAGGGGTGCTCAAAGGCCGTCTCGGAGGCCATCTTGGGCGTCTTGGAGGCCTATTGTTGTCGCTTCGCGAATCCCCACCAGCCCATCCAGAAACGATGCCCAGAGGAATTGCCTCGATCAGAGAAGTGGGCAGCACACAGAGGAAGCCATTATGAGACATCTTGGGATATCTTGAGCCATCTTGGAGGTCATTTTGGGCTCTCCCAGACGCTCTTGGAGTCATCTTAATCCGTGCCCCCCCCCAAGAGGCCTCCATGTGGCTAAAACCTGTGTAGAATCAATGATTAGGCATTCTCGCCGAGGCCTCTTGGAGCATCTTGGGTGCATCTGGGGGGGCTCTTGGGGCCTCTTGGGGGTCTCTTGGGGGCCTCCGGGGGGCCTCTTGGGGGCCTCTTGGGGCCATTTTGGGGCCATCTTGGGACCTCTTGGGGCTTCCTGGGCGCTTCTTGGGGCCATCTTGGAGGAGATCGATCAAACAAGAGGGGGGGTTTAATTAGCGCCCCCCCTCGGAAGCCCCTAAAATCGCCTCTTGGACCCCTCTTGGAACGCTCTTGGAGTGCTCTTGGGCGCTCTTGGGGCCGTCTTGGGGCTCTTTTGGGGCTCTCTTGGGGCCCTCTTGGGCCATCTTGGAACCATCTCCAGGCCTCGGATGGCCATCGGAAGCGAAAAGGCGAGAAAGCAAAAATCATTGATTTTCCTTAGGTTTTGGGACGATTTTGGCCTCTTCGGGGCCTCCTTGGGGAGCTGTTTGGCCACTTGGAGTTATCTTGGGGCCGTCTTTGGGCTTCTTGGAACCATCTTAGGAGCCATCTCGAGCGATCTTGCGCTATCTTGAGCCATCTTGGAGCTCATCTTGGGTTCTCTGAGGCGCTCTTGGAGCCGTCTTGGGCCATCTGGGACGCTCTAACTACCCGCGGCCCCCCCCGTCCAGGTCCAGGGGAGGGGGTAGGGGGAGGGGTAAACCCCTCCCCAAGGGGGAAGAGGGAGGGGTGGAAGAGGATCTGTTCTAGACCACCTACGCCCAGAGGGCTGGTGGGATTGGGCCGTCTCCGGGCCCTCTTGGGGCGGTCTTGGGGGCGTCATGGACCGTCATGGGGCCATCTTGGAGGCCTCTTGGGCGATCTTGGAGCGATCTTGAGAGCTTCTTGGGCCGTCTTGGGCCGTCGGAAAGCCGAAAAGGCGCAAATGCCAACATCCTTCAAAAACCTAAGGAAAATAAATGATTTTGGCCTCGTCGGGCCTTTCTGGAGGACCTCTTGGAGGATTTTTGGACCGTCTTGGAGGCCTCTTGCGGGCATTTTGGGTTGTCTTAGACCATATTGAGGCCATCTTGGGCCGTCTTGGAGGCATCTTGTGGCCATCTTAGCCGTCTTGCAGGCCATCTTGGGCCGTCTTGGAGACGTCTTGGAGACCATCCTGGGCAAACTTGACCGTCTTGGACGCCATCTTGGGCCAACTGGAGAAAGCAGAGGCACGACGGACGCGTTTTGAGATCTTTTCCGGGTGGCTGGCGGGACGGGCCGAAGCCCCAGGGGGAGTTCATCCGGCACGCCAGGCACCCCTTTTGATAAATCAAAAGGGGGCGGCGGATCCAGTGGCCTTCGCCCATCCCGCCACCGTGCCTGGGTGGTGGGTCAGAGGCCTCATGGATTTTGGTTGCGATCTCGCGATTGGCCTCGGCCGTGCGGGAGCAGTTTTGAAGCAGCTGACGCCGCCGGTGCGTTCCCCTCCTCCCCCCACCCTCCAGACAGGTCGGACCAGGTTTGGGTAAAGGTGGCTTGTGGAGAGGCAATCGTCCCCCCGCTGGGAGGACCCCGGGGGGTCGGCGAATTCGACTTGTTGATGCGTATCGGTGGGCACTTGCGCTTCCATGTGAAGTTTGGCGTGTAATGTGCATGCGGAGTGAAACGTGTGTTCGTGGCCTCCGACATGCATGGTCCTACGCTGATTGTTCGCCGCTTGCCGCCATTCATTTGGGCAGTCCTCCTGGTGATGTCGAGGGTGACCAGGGTTCGCAGTCGAGGAACGGCGAGTGACCCTTGGATTCTGCCGCTGGCACCAGATCGTTGAAGCCTCCTCCAGTCCTGCCCCAGCACCGTTGGCAGAGGTTGTGGGCCGTTCCAGCCTCAGCGCCAGGAGCCTTTCCACGAGCAGGCGGCGCTGTGCGGCATCTTGCAGCAGGAGGCCCCGCAGCACGCGGCCCAGGCGGACTGGTGGTGGAGCTGGCGAGGCGGGCCCCGCAAAAAGGCGCTGGGCCGCCACGTGTTCGTGGTCGACTGCGGGGCCATAAACTTCAAGCAGCCCGAGCAGGCGCAGTTCGTGGTGCACCTCGTGGACAACAAGCGTTCGGGGCCGTCTAAGCTGCAGAGGCTGGCGGAGCGCTCAAGATGTGTACAGTCGGAGCGAGGTATACGATCGAGGTCGGTCCGGGCAAGGCACCCTAGTGTCATTGCTGCTTGGTTGATGTTCTTGTGCGTCCTGGGGAGGGTACCCTTAGAGGCTCTGTTTGTTTGGGCCGACGGAGGGCGGGCCCTATTTTCGTGGAGGAGGTTCCTCGGGCCCAGGTCCGACTGTAGCGGAAAGGGAGGTGGCCGTCAGGGAGGCGGACGGGCCCCCTGAGGAAGCAGATGCCTCCCGGGCTCTCGCGCAAGCCCTCCCAGCATCTCCGGGGAGCTTCCTCGGGGGGTGCGCCTGAGCACTCGCACGACTTGTACGGGCCCACCCCTGGCCTTCTGAGAAGCCGCCCGCCTCCCTCCTCCTCCTCCTCCTCCTCTCCTCCTCCTCCTCCTCCTCCTCCTCCTCCTCCTCCTCCTCCTCCTCCTCCTCCTCCCTCCTCCCTCCCTCCTCCTCCTCCCTCCTCCCCCCTCCTCCTCCTCCTCCTCCTCCTCCTCCTCCTCCTCCTCCTCCTCCTCCTCCTCCTCCTCCCTCCTCCTCCCCCTCCTCCTCCGAGGCGGCCGCCCCCTCGCGCGCCCCCCCCCCTTCCCCGTGCGCGCCGCCTACCAGGGCGCACGCGGTGCTGGAAGCGCTCTGGGTCCGCGGGGGCGTGCCGCTGGGGCCCGAGGCCATGAGCTGGGCGCCACCAGCGAGCTCCGCAAGAGCGGCGGGGGGGGGGGGGCAGGGCAGGGGAGGAGGAGGAGGAGGAGGAGGAGGAGGAGGAGGAGGACGAGGAGGAGGAGGAGGAGGAAGATGAGGAGGAGGAGGAGGAGGAGGAGGAGGAGGAGGGCTGCGCGAGGGCGTAGCTCCGCCTCCTCACGCAGAGGAGGGCGAGCTGAGACGGCGGCAGGTGGCCTTCGGGGAGGGCCCTCGTCGCCACGGCTGCACGCAGCGGATCCGGCCCGGAGGGCTGGCCAGCGCTCACGGGCAGGCGACGGTCCGGGAGGGGTCGGTCGGCCTGGATGTGGACTTGCTGTTGTCTCAGCGGGCCCTGCACCGACTCACCCTTCCATTCCTCGCGCCAAATTTTAGCAAGCAGGGACCGCCGCGGAGCCCACGATGCCCCAGCAGGATCTGGTGGCCCAAGGGTCTATGGAGCGCTCCGCGGGCACTCGACTGGTTCATGGTTCACACAGCAGCTGAAGGCCGTCCAGAGAGATTACAGTGGAGCCCCCTGCCAAGAAACACCCTACTTGCCTCCAGGGTGCCCTGGGTTTTTTGGGTTTCGATGGTTTTGCGATGGAAAGCGTTACGCTCCGACACCAAAAATTAAAGGACGTCCTGGGGTCTCAGGGTCGAGTTTCTGGTGGAAGGTTTCTTGTGGTCCGGCCCCTACTGTACACGTTTTTGCAAGCTGCCGCCGACTGATCCTGGCTGCCGAAGCGACGAGCCTCCTCCTCCTCCTCCTCCTCCTCCTCCTCCTCCTCCTCCTGCTCCTCTCTCCTCCTCCCTCCTCTTCCCCCTCCTCCCTCCTCCTCCTCCTCCTCCTTCTCCTCCTGCCCCTTCTCCTCCTCCTCCTCCTCCTCCTCCTCCTCCTCCTCCTCCTCCTCCTCCTCCTCCTCCCCGAAGCTCTCCTCGATGTTCGGCACCTCCGAGACGTGGTCGAAGCATGCGGTTGGCGAAGCCCGTCGGAGGAATATCTTGTTCTACGCCCTGCCTCGTCCTCCTCCCCTTCGCGAACGAGCGAGCGAGAACGAGAGACCGCGAGGACACAACAAACACTGCCTCTGGCCTTTCGGGCCTGCAGATGGGAGTGCGCTCTTCAGCGCGCCAGAGCTGGAAGTGAGCCGCTCGGAAGTCCAGGGAGTCCAGACTCCGTTGCACCGCGGGAACTACTTCAGCCTGGTGGCCCGCGTTTCGCGTTCCTCGTGGCTGTGTCGTGGCACGGATGCCTCGACGGGGCGTCGCCGTCTGCGCGTTGTCTGGTCGAAGGGTGGGGAGGCAGAGCGTGCGGCGGGGTGGAGCGCTGAAGCGGGGCACGGTCAGCGGGGGCGAAGCCCAGCCGTGGCCGCGGTGTCCTTGCCGCGCACCTTCAAAGTCAAGTTCTGATGGATGGTAAGTAAGGGCCTGTTGGTTTGGTGAGGCGATCGCTCGTTTGCCTCTCATGCGAAGGTGTTTCGGCAACATCTGTCCTCACCCCTCGGCGCCTCCACCCCTCCTTGCCCCCCGCCTCCCTGTGCAGCGTCCTCCGGCCCGTTGACGAGCTCGTGTTCTAGCAGGTGAAGTTCCCATCTCACGGCCCATGTCCCTAAAAAATGTTGTGAGCTGGCAAACTCCGCTGATGGAGGGCGGCTGGACTCAAGAATCTGACGATCGCCTCGGTCACACTGCGCTGGCTGCAATGATAGAGAGGGCACCCGTTCGGCACAGAGTGGTGTGGCACTGATGGTTATCTCGTGGTGACTCCCGTTGAGTCTGCCGTTACGCTCGCCACTCCAGTCCTCAATCGGGACCTTTCCTGTGTCAGGGCGGCAGGGTTTGGACGAATAGTCGTCTGACAGGTCGGAGGTCAGAAAGCGGCCCCTACACTTATGTCGGGCCTGTCCCCCTACAGGGGGATTTTCGACGATTGTTTAACAAACAAACAGAAAAACTAAAACCCCCAAATACCCCAAAAATGTCAAAACAAATTCAAAAAGTAGTCCCCAGGCTATTTTTAATTATTTGTGTTGACTATCCTTGGGGGATTTTTTTATTTTTCGTCGGACATCCCCCCTGTAGAGGGACAGGCCCGACGTCGCCCCCCCACACGCCGAGGACTGCGAGGAGCCTCTCCCCCGCGCTCCCCCGAGAGAGGCCGGGGGTCCGGGCCGCTCGGGGGTCCCGGATAGATCCCCCCCCATTGGAGGCGTCCGCGGGGCGCGCTCGGGCCTCCGAGGCGGCTCGAGCCGCGGCGACGACGGGGGGCCCCAGGGGGCCCACTGGAGGCGTCCACGGGGTGCGCTCGGGCCTCGGAGGCGGCCTCGAGCCGCGGCGACGACGATGGAGCCCCCAGGGGGCCCCCACCCAGGAGCGCAGGATGCCACGGGAGCCCGCCCAGGGGCCTCCGGGAGGCCCGCCCAGGAAGCCTCCCAGGAGGCTGCAGGAGGCCCACCCAGGAGCCTCCAGGAGGCCCACCCAAGAGGCCTCCAGGAGGCCCACCCAGGAGGCCTCCAGGAGCCTCCAGGAGGCCTCCAGGCGGCCGGCCCAGGAGCCTCCAGGAGGCCCACCCAGGGAGCCCACCCAGGAAGCCCCTGTCCCGTGTCGTGCGGGAGCCATCGGTGGGCTCCTGGGCGCCGGAGCCCTGGCAGGATCCGGAGAGCCCAAGGAGGCCACTCCAGTGGCAGCACAATGCTGAGGCTTCCACATGTGTGTCCAGCCCCGCAGGGCCCAGTTGATGGGATTGTGGACGACCCATGCTGGTTTGTGATGGCCACGGCTTTGCACGAAAACCACAAACGTCATGGCGCCAACATCGCAGAGTGGATTTCGCTCGGAAAACAATGGGATCGGTCCAGGTTGTTCTGGAGAATTTCGCTCCCGATCTCGAAGTGAATTTCTTGCGGATTTGTTTTGGCCATGAAGCTACAAACGAGATCCGCGTGAAATTCACTTCGTTTTTCGCTCGCCGTTTCTGGGTTTTGCATTTAAAAAATATCCACGCGAAAATCCGCTGCAGCACGTCTGCAAGGTCAGGTCGGTGCGGTGACAACCGTGGTACACCTCGAGGGAGCCATCGGGCTGGTCTGAGAGAGCAGCCGGGTGAGCGGCGCCACAGCACGCGTCCGACCGTGCGGCCACGGACGCACTCGCTGTTCGTTGCGCGCGAGCGCGGCCTTTTCTCCACACGGAGGGTGCCGCGCCCGCGGGCCGCGTGAGCCATCGCGCGCAAGGTATTCTCCTCCGAGCCAGGCAGAGGCCTTGCCAAGGAGCGCTTATGTCGACCCAACGCGATGCGACAGGGAAATTCGAAGAGGATCGATGAGGGGCACTGGCCAAGGGTGTCATCGATGTCGTAGCAGAGAGCCAGGGGCCGCATCCCTCCTTGACAAGTGGCACGCGTGCCCTGGCTCTCTCATGAGGGAGGGCGAGGGCTGGGAGAAGCGGAGTGAGGGTTCTCGAGGCTATCTTAGTGTTCTCTGGGGGCCGTCGTGACCATCATGAGGATGCAGGGGTAAGGTGGCCCAGGGGGCGACGAGCGAACGAGCGAACGGCGGCGAAAATTAAAGGCTGCAATCTCTAGAACACTATTGCGCAAGTCAGGAGAATTTCAATGTTTCACTTCGCATATTGACAATTACCATTCTTCTCCAGGGCGGCGGCGGCGAGGGGTCCTGAGGTCCCCGGAGGCGTCTGGAGAACATCAAGAAGCACCAGGCAAACAGAAAAAACAGATACCGTCGTTCATCACCTGGCGATACCGGGCGTTATCCAAGGGCGGGGGAGGGGGGGGGACCGGGGCCTCAGGTGGAGCTCCCTTGGGGCCACGAAGCGTGAACGACGTGCGCCGGGAGGGTGTGGAGAAGGCATGCGGGCCCCGGCGCTGGGGCCTCAGGCTTGGCATCGCTCGGACGTGTGCATTTTTCCTTCGGCGAGGACCATCGAGGAGCATCCTTTCTATGATTTGGCGATAAAAAACCACGCACGAGACCGAAGAAAGCACAGGGAATGGACGTCCGAGCGATGCCCAGCAGGTGGAGCTCCCCCTGGGGCCGCGACACGCGTGCTGGGGTGCTTCGAAGTGGTGTGGAGAAGGCAGGCGGACCCCTCGGAGAGAGGCCCGGGGACGCCACGGTTCGCGCCGACGCCGTCTGGGAATGCCCGGGCGTGGCTGCTTCCCACACGGCGCCGGCGCGATCCGTGGCGTCACCAGCGGGGGGAGGGGATCCGTGGCGTCACCAGCGGGAGGAGGATATTTCCCACTGCCGGTCCCGCCTCCCGGAGGCGGGACCGGCAGTGGGAGTTATCCTCCTCCTCCTCCTCCTCCTCCTCCTCCTCCTCCTCCTCCTCCTCCTCCTTCTCCTCCTCCTCCTCCTCCTCCTCCTCCTCCCACAGAAACATCAAGTTTCTGAGATCCGCGCTGTCTCCCTGGGTCGGCGCCTGGACCCCCCTGGCGGCGCGCCTCCGGCGCCGCCCCTGGCGTGCTCCCCGCGCCATTGAGGAGGTCCTGGCGCCGAGCTCAGGAATCCGCGCCGAGCTCCGAAAGTTCCTTTGTACGCAGCCGCTGCTGCTCTTGTCTCCACGGGTGATGAGCTAGCTCTGCCCCCTCCCTCGATCCTCGATCCTCGATCCTCCCTCGATCCTCGATGCTCCCTCGAGCCTCGACCCTCCCTCGGGCCTCGATCCTTGAATCCTGATCCTCCCTCGACCCTTGATCCTCCCTCGAGCCTCGACCCCTGCCCTCGAGCCTCGCGCCTCGAGCCCCGCCCGCGAGCCTCGAGCCTCGAGCCCCGCCCGCGAGCCCTGAGCAGGACCTGCCCCCGCCCTCGACCCCTCCGGCGCTCGAGGGCGCCGCCCCCCTGACCACCCCCCCCGACGGGCTCCCCCCCCCCCCCCCCCTCGAGAGAGCGGCGGCGCGGAGGCGGCCGCCCACGCGCGGTGGAACCGCTTCGGCGCGGCCGGCGATCGCGCGCGCCCCTCAGGCGCGGGGGGCGTGGGGCGCGGGGGGCGCGGGGGGCTTCTCTTCAGGAGGGAAAGTTGTCCTGGCGAAGGACCCAACCAGACGCAAGTGTGAGAACCGCAGGGCGTTCCCAATGGGGCCAGGAACTGAGTGAGGGGTGCGCCAAAATGGGACGGGGCCGCCATGCGAACCCTGCCACTGGGGCCCGTTTGAGGGGTGCGCCAAAATGGGGCGGGGCGGCCATGCGAACGCTGCCACTGGGGCCTTCGGTGGAGCTCCCTATGGGGCCACGAACCGTGTGAGGGGTGCGCCAAAATGGGGCGGGGCCGCCATGCGAACGCTGCCACTGGGGCCTTCGGTGGAGCTCCCTATGGGGCCACGAAGCGTTGTACTGGGTGGGTAAAACGATGGGAGGAGGGGGGAGGGGGAGGAGTGCGGGAAGGAAGGAACGCGGGCCACCGTCTCTTCAAAACGAGGACCCAACACCACAGGATGGTTTGGAAAAAAAACACTCAGCGGCGAGCGGGGGGGGGGAAGTGAGAAGGAGAAGGCCTTCTCAGCCGGCGGCGGGACTTCACAGAAGCCCTCGCGCCTTTTGAGAGGTGTTTTGCGACTCCGGGGAAGGCTTAGAAAACTTCTCGGAAGGCCGGGGGACTTCCGAGCTTTCTGAAAAGGCCTTCTCCTTCTCATTTCCCTCCCCCGGCTCGCCGGCAAAGCACACAGGCACAAAGCATGGTCGCTTCCCATGAAAAGTATCTGGGAAAAGATTGGAGGTGGCGGTGCGCACGAACCTCCGAAAAATGCGGACTAAGATTGGGAATCCTGGAATCTGTGTCAATCTAGTTGTGTGTCCCTTGTCCCTGGCCCCTTCACCTGTCAAAGGAGGCAACGGCACCCATGCAGCTACCCTCCCCCGTTTTCCTCCTTTCCGGGGGGCCTCTGGGGAGCCCCTCGTCGACACCGCTGGATTCGCCTCGAAACCCTTGTGAGGACGTACCCCGGGCGAGGTCCGGGGGCAGCAGGATTTTTTGGTCTCCCCATTTTCGCGGACGACGAAATCTGTACATATCCTTTCCCCACGGCCAGGCCCACCCCGCGCCCTGGGGGGCGGTACATACAAGGTCTTCTGGCCAAGCTGGGAGGGCGAGTGCGCCGCTTTTGGGCCCGGAACGGGCCTGGCCGGGGGCAGTGGATGTTGCGTGTGTGCACTGTTCGTGCAGTCTGCAAAGGACGGGCGCTGCTCAGCCGCGAAGTGTGGTTTTCCCCCCCCCCTGTAGGGATCTTGAGGGGGGATTTCTGTCAACGGGCATGATCGGCCCGTCGACAGTCCTCCTCCGTACATGGCGCTCTTGGCTCAAGAGCGCTCGCCCGCCCGCGCCCCAGCCTGGCGCCGGTTCATGGACTGGCTCGCGCAAGGGCTGCACGTGGACGCCAACGCGGGGTTGTGCGCGGCGGTGAACCGCACCACAGGCCCAAGCCAGCAGCCGCACACTTGCGTCTGCTCGTTTGACGTGCCGCCGACCGACCAGCGTGCTGGACGTGCCGTTCGACGTGCCGCCGACCGGCGGGTGCTGGACGTGCTGCAGCGGCAGATGGACAGGTGCGGGCCGGAGGGCCTCACGCAGCCGAGCTGCCCGGTCTGCGAGCGCCCAGCCTGCGAGTGCATTTCATCCAGCTGGACATCGGCGACCCATAGTCCACGATCTTCATTGTCGGCTTCTTGTGCTTCAGCCTCGGCCTAATCGCCGGGCTGACGTGGTGCTTCCTTGCCCGCCGCCAGCAGGCGGCATCCATCGTGCAGCAGGAGATCACCTCGGAAACTGCCAGCGCCGCCCCACCGCTTCGAGGTCCAGGTCTTCAGTCGCCAGCTAGCATGAAGGCTCTGACCACATCAGATGGCCGCTAGATCCCTCGACGCGCCTGAAGTCTGGCAGACTTCGTTAACAACGTGAATGAATTCTTGTGGCACCATCGGCTCCAGTTGAAGCCAGCACTTGTGGCAGGACGCTGGATAGCGTACGACATGAGCGTCCAGGTCGCCGATTTGAAAAGCCACCGCATCGTTGCCTTGGAGCGCGATTCTCCGATACCAACACAGTATGCAGTGGCAGCGCACGTCTTCGACCCGCTCCAGCCCGCCGAGCTCGAGCAGGTGTGCAGCCGGGCCGTCTCCCTTTTCGGCATCCTGGGGATCACCAGCGCAGGCGCCGCTCTCACCGACCAGGCGGTCTGAAGGATCGCGGACCCCATCGCACCCCCGCTTTGACAACGAGCTGCCCACACCGTGACAGCTTCATCCAGGCGCCCGACGGCAGCGTGGCCATGGCGCTCATCGACGACAAATGGGTGGCCGTGGCGTCGGCGGCCCCAGACGCCCACGACGAGCGGCTCTGGGCAGAAGCGCTTTGGGGTCTTTGGTCGGGGACGCGCGGCCCGACGGGGCCCGCTTCAAGGCGATGATCGACGCGGTGGGCCAGTCTTGGGTGGGGACGGTCCCGGGATGATGTTTTTCCAGTGCGGGCGCCTCGTTCTAGAGTTCGTGGCCTCGCTGCGCAGCGCTGGGAACTTGGACTTGGTCTTGTCCCAGCACCTGGACTTCGTTGGCGAAAGCGGGATGGGGCGCCAATCGGGCCTTGCCCACACGCGTCGCCGCATGTCCGAGGCGATGACGCACATGCAGTGCTTCGACTAGCTGAACGCGTACAACCTTGCTTCGGCCAAGCTTCTGACGAGGTACCTGCGCCAATCGACAGCGCAGGGCGCAAAAATATATTACCCTGCGACGTACCCAACCCATTTGTATCAATGGAAACGAGGAGTTGGCCGAAACTTGCATGGACAATCAACTTGATGTGTAAGCTACTTGGGACACGCACCTATGGCGAGAACCATACAAGAACGAGGGGCGACAGCTACAGGCTCGCAGAGGACATGGGGAGTCGGGAACGCAGAGCAGGAGAACAACGCGCGGGAAGCCGAACCATCAGCACGGCAGCAGCGGAGGGAAGGTGACTGCAGGAGGAGAACAAGGACGAAAGCGGCGTCTTATTTGAGTCTGCGGTGGGTGCCCACTGTGCTGTGCCCCTCAGCAGCCCTCGAAAGTGGCAACAGTTTCACAGATCGCAGCCCCCCAGGGATGGCGAGGTCTAATTTGAGTCTGCGGTGGGTACCCACTGTGCTGTGCCCCTCAGCAGCCCTCGAAAGTGGCGACAGTTTCACAGATCGCAGCCCCCCAGGGATGGCGAGGTCTAATTTGAGTCCGCGGTGGGTACCCACTGTGCTGTGCCCCTCAGCAGCCCTCAAAAGTGGCGACAGTTTCACAGATCGCAGCCCCCCAGGGATGGCGAGGTCTAGTATGAGTCTGCGGTGGGTACCCACTGTGCTGTGCCCCTCAGCAACCCTCGAAAGTGGCGACAGTTTCACAGATCGCAGCCCCCCAGGGATGGCGAGGTCTAATTTGAGTCTGCGGTGGGTACCCACTGTGCTGTGCCCCTCAGCAGCCCTCGAAAGTGGCGACAGTTTCACAGATCGCAGCCCCCCAGGGATGGCGAGGTCTAATTTGAGTCTGCGGTGGGTACCCACTGTGCTGTGTCCCTACAGCAACCCTCGAAAGCGGCGACAGTTTCACAGATCGCACCCCCCAGGGATGGCGAGGTCTAGTTTGAGTCTGCGGTGGGTACCCACTGTGCTGTGCCCTTCAGCAGCCCTCGAAAGTGGCGACAGTTTCACAGATCGCAGCCCCCCAAGGGCGGCGTGGTCTAATTTCAGTCTGCGGTGGGTACCCACTGTGCTGTGCCCCTCAGCAGATCTCGAAAGTGGTGACAGTTTCACAGATCGCAACCCCCCAAGGATGGCGAGGTCAAAGGCAGGGGGGAAGAGAGGGACGGGAAGGAAGGAAAGGAGGTTCGCGCGAGTAGTGCTCTATTCAAAACGAGAACCCAACGCAGGAGGGTTGGGAACAACAACCCCGACATGAGTAACGCGGACATGGCGCTGCCGTCGGGCATCGACGAGAACGGCGCCATCATCACGACGAAGTGCCAGTCTTGCACCGCGCAGCGGGACCGCGCCCAGACGCTCAAGCAGGAACGGCTGTACGCTGAGGAGCAGGATCACGCCGTGGCAGGAGTTTGCGGCCCCGACGTTGGCGGCCAGGGCGACGGCGGCGGCGGAAGCCGCGGCCGCGGGGCAGGTGACCGGGGCGGCGGCCGCGGACGCGGGCGATGCTGGTGCGCCGACGCCCCCGGCGCCGCGGACGGCGGCTCGCCCCCCTGACGGGGGGGGGGCGCGGGGGATTGCTCGCTTGCGCCATCCTTCGCCACGGCGCAGGCGACATCGAGGCCCCCGCGCCCCGCGCTGGCGACGTCGTGCCCTACGTCGACGCGGCGCACATCGGCTTGGTCATCAACAGCACGGTCCTTTCCCCCAGCCTCCTGCCGGCAAGGCGGGGTCCCGCCGCTGGCGAGCCCCCATCTCGGCGGTGACGAGCGCCAAAGACTCTGAACGCTCCCAACGCCCCCTCCAAGGCTCCTGGGGCCTCTCGCACACCGAGATGTCATGTCCTCTCGGACGCAGCGCGACGTCCGTCGGCGGCTTCATCGACGGGTTGCTCGACATGAGCTGGGGCCACCCGTGGCCGCCATTCAAGTTCATCTCGATTCGATAAAGGGCAGGGGCCCGCACTCTTCCTAGCGCGCCAATTTGGTGCCTTACGACACCGCGAATTTCACCCCACGAAGCTCGCAGTGCTTCGTGGCTCGGTGAAGCCTCTTCCCCTTCCTTCCCCGCCCCGGCTCCCGCCCGGGGCTCGTCGGATTTTCGACGACAAGAGTTTGCCCATACTCCTAGCTGCCGCCGACGCCGACCAGCTAGTGAATGCTGGCGAAATCCCGCAGGCACGGCCTTCTGGGTGCGCCAGTCTTCGCTTCAGCCCTTCGACGAGGCGGAACTTCGTTCGCCCTGCACCACCGCAGGCTCGTCCCCTCGACGCGACATCACCCGCCGCGTCAAACGTTTTTTTCGACGCCGAGAAGAACGGCGACGTCCGCCTAGCGATTGCCGGTTGGAGGTCCAGCACCATCCACCAGACGCCGCTTGGCTTCGAGCTGGGACCGGCCGGTGCGACGAGCTTTCCCGACCTCTCTGACGACGCCTTGCTCGACGGTGACGTCGACCAGTCGAGTCGGACGTGCACTTCTCGGGCAGCGGCGGTGATTTGAAGGGCGGCTTCTTCCAGTGCGTCGACCGGGACCTGGCCTCCAACTTCGGGCTCACTTTCCCTGAGGAGGCTACTCGGCATGGCTGCGCCCGCGCGCGTGACGACTCTTCCAGGACCTCCGAGGCCGTGGGCGGCGAGACGCGGGTCTACCCCGCGTTCCGCAGGCCTCCCACGGGCTGGTCGTGGAGCCTGCGCCTTTGCCAGCAGGTCTTCAGCAGCGCCCTTGAAGACGCCGCGGGCGCTGACGGCGGACCTCGCCTGCCGCGCGAAGACTGGCCGCAGCCCGCGGAACGCCCGCTCGTGGCGCCGCGCGGTGGCGACAACAACATTATCGGCCTGACCCCAGCGCCGGCGGCCACAGGGCTTGCCGCTGCGCTCGGGGAGCTCCGGGCGCGGTAGCCTGGCCTACCACGAGGTGGTCGAGCCTACCATCGTCGCCGAGACGGTCGGGGCGTTCCTGGATTACTTCCCCACGTGTCAGCGCCTTGCGCGGCATCGGCTGGAGCGTGCCAAGAGGCTCTACCAGGCGCTGGAGTGCCTGATCTGGCGCGGCGCAGCCCCAGGCCACGCCATGATGCGCGTCGCGGGCCACACGGTGAACGATTTCACGTTTGGCCGCTGCACCTTGTCGGTTCTCGGCCACATCAACAGCTTCATCACGGACTTCGGCCCGAAGGTTGCTAAAAGGATGCGGCGCAAACTGCGCCTTTCCCGTCGGGGCCCGGGAATTTGCCTTCGGGGGCCCTTTTGGGGCGTTCTCGAGGCCACTTTGTGTTCTTTTTCTGGCCATCTTGAAGCTATCTTAAGGCCTCAGGAGCCGATCGGAAGCGAAAAGGCGAGAAGGTAACAGACGCTAACTGATACAGCGGTTTTGAATGATTCTGGCGACTTGGAGTCTTCTTTGGGTGGCTCGGAGCACACTTGGAGCCGCCCTGAGAAGGTTTTGAATCCTGGGATGTCTTAAGCGATCTTGGAGGCCATCTTGGGCTCTCGGGGCCCTGCCGGAGCCACCAGGGGCCACCTTCGGGGCTCCAGCGGCCCAGCCTCCCCTGGCCAGATGGGGCAATTTCTCCAGACAGCTAGGGCCTTGCTCCTATCCAGCATCTTGATCTCAGCTCAATCCCATCTCCTTGAAGGGGAAAAGTGCGGCGGCGGCACCTCGCCCTGGGACCGTTTTTGTTGGCACACGTGCGGTCCGAAGGAGAAGAAGGGGGTGAACGAGCTTGTTAAACCACTTCATGCCCAGAGGGTGGCTGGATTTCGAAAACGTTTTAGAAGGGCTCCGTTTTCCCACCCGTTGGGTCTCAAGAGCTTTCAAAATGGCCCGAGAGGCCGCCACGACCAGTTGACAGTCAGAACAGGGACCGCCCGCGAGGCTGTTCAGCAAGCCCGAGAGTCCCAAAGGGGCCCAAGAGGGTTCCAAGACACCTGAGACGCATCCAGGAGAAACACAGTAGCCCCGAGATGGCCCAAGATGGTTCCACGAGAGCCGGAGAGGCATTCGCCGAGGGTGCCCCAGGAGGACGCTCAGGAGACTCTGTGAAGGCAAATGTCACGTTTATTAAAGATGAGTTGAATCTGTTTCGCTTTCCTGCACCTTCGGTCCCAAGAACGTTCGCGACGCCCCAGGGGCCGCTCCAGACGCCGCAGGATAGCCAGACAGGGCCCCACGAAGCTGTCCAGCGGACCCAAGGAGAGCCCCAAGAGGGCCCCAAAACAATTTCTAACAGCTGTCGGATCAGCTCCTAGAGACCTGGATGGCCAGGATCACCCCAAGTTTGCTCAAGATAGCCTCCAAACCAGCCCTTGAAGAGCCAAGACGCCTCCAGGGGGCCACGATCGCCTTAAGATGTATCAGAGGAGCTCCAACAGGACTCTGCGAGGGCCCTCTGGGGACCTCCCAGAGGCCATGGACACGCAAGTATAGTTGTTTTGCTATTTGGCTATTGGATAAGTTCAGCTTCCTCGGAGTGTCAAGAGCGTCCACGACGGCCCACGAGGCCTCCATTATCACTCCATGATGACTTGAACATTGGATGGCGGTATCACAGCAGGCAGAAGAGAGCCCAACGAGGGCTCCACGAGGCTTGCGCTTCCGAGGCGGCCAAGCTGGTCCAAATATGGCCCAACATTGCTCCAAGGGTTTTCGTTCACCTGTGAGATTGGCACATGTTTCCAGGGACCCGGGTGGCATACCGCCCCAGGTGTGCAGTTGTGTTACGGCCGGCGAGTAGGGCGCACTCACCTGAGCATTGACGCTGGTTTTCGGAGCCAACGTCATCAGACGCGAACTGGAGGACTAGCCTGATTTGGAGTTCAACCATTGTGCAGGGCAAGCCCAATGTGTGGGCGGGACTGGTCAAATTCTTGACGCTTCGCATGTCCCCACCAGCCCATCCAGACACGATCGGAGGTTTTCTTGAAGCCTTTTGGAGGCTATCGTGAGCCATGTTCGGCCAGAGACTGTCGGAGGCTATCCGAAGCCATGCACAGCTATCTTGGACCATCTTGAGGCTGGCGTGAGGCCTCTTGCAGGTCTATCGGAGGCTATCTTGAGCCATGCTCGACCTGCTGGGACCATCTTCGGGGAGGAGGCGGGAGGGGGAGGGGGAGGAGGAGGAGAAGAGAGAGAAAGAGGAGGAGGAGGAGGTGGAGGAGGAGGAGGAGGAGGAATGCGGTGCGATGAGGAGGAGGAGGAGGAGGATGAGAAGGTGGAGGAGGAGGAAGAGGAGGTGGGAGGAGGCAGGAAAGGAGGAGGGAAGGAACGGAGGTTGACAACGACGATGAGGAGTCGGGCTTTGGAGATACGTTGCTGTGAGAGGTTATTGAAGGACGATGAGGGCCATCTTAGGGGCTCTCTCAGGGCCCCCGTGGGGCTTCTTGCGGCACTCTTGGGGCCCTCTGGGGCCCCCTTTGGGGTTCATTGTGGGGGTCGCGGGGCCCTCTTGGGGCTCATTGGAGGGGTTTGGGGGGCCTCATGGGCCCATGGCTCAAAAAGAGGACGTGTCCTGAACTCATGTCCCCCCCCGTCGGGGAGTCAAAACTGACGTCTTGGGGCCCTTTTGGGCCGCTGTTGAAGCGCTCCTGGGCGCTCGTTGGGCCCTCTTGGGGCCCTCTTGGGCCTCGCTTGGGCCCCTTTTGGAGCTCTTCTTGGCAGTCTCGGGGCCATCTTGAGGCCTGAAAAGCCCATCGGAAGCGAAAACGCGAGAAGACAAACAAACATTGGGTTTCCCTAGTGTTTTGACTGATGTTGGTCTCTTGGAGTGTGCCATGACGGAGGCTATATTGAACCATTTTCGGCTACCGTGGGCCAATTTGAAGGCCAACCTGGGCTCTCAGAGGCGCTCTTGGAGCAATTTTGAGCAATCTTGTGCTCGCCAATGGGTCGCGCCCTCCCCCTCCAAGGCCCAGGGAAAGAGGTGAATTTGACAGAAAGAAATCATAACTCATTAAACCACCTACGCCCAGAGGGTTGGTGGGACTCGACCCGACGGGCTGCGCAGTTGACAGAGGCATTGTTTGTGCCCTTCAATGTCAACGACCGTTTGAACGTCGTCCGGCCACCTCTTCCTTACCGTTGTTAGCCCTTTTTCGTTTATCCGTCTTTCTCTTCCTTTCGGGGTCCTGTACCTATGCGCTTCTCCGAACTTTGGTATGCCCGTTTATGCACAGGCTGGCCAGCAGTACTTGCCCAAGCCAAGGAGATGCATTGTTCTCTGCTTGCGTCTGCGGTTGCATTCACCACTGGCGCCTCGTCGTATGTGCTTTGGCGGTGTCCCATCCATGTTCCATCCATGTCGACTCATCATTGAAACCGTCCCTTGATTGAGCAAGCTGGCCGCAACTGTTGGAAAGCGCGCCAGTGAGTGACCCTGTAATTCAAAAGGGGGGGGGTGCTCGCAGAACCCCCCCTTCCCACCTGCAAAGGGGGGTTGAGATTTTCGCCCCCCGCCCCCCCTCCCCCCCTTTGCGCCGAACAGGGTGCTGGGGAGGGGGCCTCTCCCGCAAGGGGGGTGTCTCGGGATAGTGAGTAGTGAGTAGTGAGTAGAGACTAGTGAGTCGTGAGCAGTGGGTACTGAGTAGTGGGTAGGTAGTAACGAGTAATGAGGAGTGAGTAGTGAGAGAAGTGAGTAGCGAGTATGGAGTAGTTCGCAGTGAGTAGTGAGTAGTGAGTAAGTAGTGTTTAGTGGGGAGTGGGGAGTGGGTAGAGAGTAGTGCGTAGCGAGTAGGTAGTAGCGAGACGTGAATAGTGAGTAGCGAGTACGGCGGAGTGAGTAGTGAGTAATGAGGAGGGAGTAGTCAGTAGTGAGTAGTGAGAAGTGTTTAGTGGGTAGAGGAGAGTGGGCTGTGAGTAGTGAGTATCGAGTAGGGAGTCGCGAGTGGTGAATTGTGAGTAGCGGCTAGGGCATTTTGAGTGGTATGTGATGAGGAGGGAGTAGTCAGTAGTGAGTAGCGAATAGGAAGTAGTGAGTAGCGAGTAGCGAGTAGTGAGTAGTGAGTAGTGGGTAATGGCGAGTGGGTAGTGAGTAGTTAGTAGCGAGTAGTGAATCGTGCGAAGTGAGTAGGGCATTGTGAGTAGTGGGTTGTGAGGAGGGAGTAGCCAATAGTGAGTAGGGAGTAGCGAGTACGGAGTAGCGAGGAGTGAGTATTGAGTAGTGAGTAGTGAGTAGGGAGTGGTGATTAGTGGGTAGTTAGAAGTGAGAAGTGGGTAGTGAGTAGCGGAGAGTGCGTAGGGAGTAGCGAGTAGAGAGTAGTGAGTAGTGAGTAGCGAGTACACAGTACCGAGTACTCTGTAATGACGTTTAACTGGTGAGTAGCGAGTACGGAGTAGGGAAGAGTGAGTACTGAGTAGTGAGTAGTGCGAAGTGGGCAGTGAATATTGTGTATCGGGTAGCGAGTAGGGAGTAAGGAGTAATGAGTGGTGGGTAGTGAGCAGTGAGTAGTGTGTATAAGGTAGGGATCAGCGAGCATCAGATAATGATTTGTGGGCAGTGAGTAGTGAGTAGTGAATTGTGAGCATTCAGTAGTGATTCGTGGAAAGTGGTTAGTAAGTAGTGAGTAGTGAGTAGTGGGTGATGAGTAGTGTCTAGTGAATAGTGAGTATTGAGTAGTGGGTAGTAAATAGTGAGTAGTGAGTAGTGTGTTGGGAGTAGTAAGTAGTGAGTAGTGAGTAGTGGGGAGTGGGAAGTGAGTTGTGGGTAGTGAGTAGTGAGTCGTGGGCAGCGAGCAATGAGTAGTGAGTAGTGTGTTGTGAGTAGCGAGAGTAGTGGGTAGTGGGTAGTGAGTAGTGAAAAATGGGTATTGAGTGCTGTTTGGGGCTAAGGTTAGGGCTTGGGGTTAGGGTTACGGGTGGTCGGGGTGGTAGTGTCCGGGGTGGTAGGGGTCGGGTTCCGGAGCCAGGGGGCGCCGTGGCGAAAGGGGGGAAGGGGGGGGAGGATCGGACCCCCCCCCTTTTAAAAGGAGGGGGGGGTCCCGACGACGGACCGGGAAAGGGGAAGAGGGGGGGGGGTCCCCGACGACGGACTGGGAAACGGACGGATCGGGGAAAGGGGAGGGGGGGGGGGAGTCCCAAGCCCCCCCCACCCTTTGGGGCCATCCAGCGGCGCGCCCTCCAACTGTTGGTCCTCCCACATGGAGGGGTACTTTTGTAATATGCCCTTGCATGCAGCTCATCTTGACCGCGATTCGAAGGATGGCTGGGCGCCGGTGCCGAGACTGCCGTGGGACGCGGGCTGCGGCGCGGCGGTGACGCACTTGGCCAAGGGGTCCCCCTTCATGTCTGACGAGGTGGGAGTCGGGTGTGCACGTGCGTTTCTGTGTCTCGTTCCCTCACTGTGCGTGAGGCTTGGCATCGCTGGAACGTTTGTATTTTTTCGGCGGGGATCATGAGGGAGCATCCTGGATCTTCCTGCGAACAAGATAGAAGCACACACGAATTCGATGCATGCACGGAGAACGGACGTCCGAGCGACGGCGAGGCTTGCGCATCCCCCTATCGTTCCTCCCCTTCCACCTTCCACTCAGGTTCGCCTCCTCCCTCTCCCGTTCAGATGTGCCTGGCCAAGGTCCGCATGTGAGCCCAAGTTACCAGCACGTGCCACGTGCGACCGGAAACGCGCGTGGCGAAGTCACACGCCTGTCTTAGATCTGAGGGTGTCCAGCCGCCTGCGGCAATCCCCGCAACTGTGCCAGCCCATCATTCTATATGGCGATTGGTCGAGGGGCACGGGAGGCACTCACGTGCGACACCTCGTGTCACCAGGCGTGGGAGAGCAGTGATGAGGACGATGGGGATCATGAGGATTATGAGGATTATGAGGATGGTAGGGGTGCTAAGGAGGAGGAGGAGGAGGAGCAGCAGAAGGAGGAGGAGCAGGAGGAAGAGGAGGGAGAGACTTTCTGTCACATGTAACCCCTGTCGTATTCACCATGCGACGAGGTATCATGGAAGTCGTTTGGGCCGTCTTGGGGCTGTCTTGGCATTATGTGACGCAATCGTGGGGGTTCCGTAGGGCCCTCTTGGGCCGTTTTGGGGCCCTTTTACGTTGTCTTGGGGCACTCTTGGACCATGTTGAGGTCCTCTTGGCCGCATGGTGGGTGTTTGAGGGTAGGGTAGGCCTTCTATGGCCGTCTGGGGTCCCACGAAAAGACCTCTTAGGCCGTCTTTGGGTCGTATTGGATGTACCTTGAGCCAGCGCGGGGTCCTTTTGGGCCATCTCGGAACCCTCGTCGCGGCCTCTTGGGCCGTCTTGGGGCCATCGCGGGAGCTTCTTAGGCCATCTTGAGCTAACGGGAGCCCGACAAGGTGAGAAAGCGAAACATTTTCAAAAACCCGGGGACAATCAATGATTGGCATAGCTCGGACCTTGTTGGGGGTCCTCTTGTAGCGTTGTGTGGCTCTCTTGAAAGCATATTGGGCAGTCTTGACTCCAAATCCGCCTTGAGGCCATCTCGGGATATCTTCGAGGCATCTTGGGTCATCTTGGTTGCCTTGGTTGCCTGGCTGGGCCTTTCTGTAAGCTCCAAACCCAGATACAGCGTTTTCGAGGGATTGTGGCCTCGGGAGCGACGTTCATAGTTTTTGTTTACGCGGGAACATAGCCTCGGGAGTAGGGGGGATGCACGCGGCGGTTTGCGAGTAGAGGTGAGGGCCTTACTAGAATACAAAAACACCCTACCCGACAGCAATTGGCATTCTACCACATCCCAACGTGCCAGGTGGCACGACGGCGGCTTCTTATTACAGTCAGTTGAATTTTGCTGCTAGTGGGATTCCAGACGTCTTTTTTGTCTCTGAGACTTCCATCGTAGCAAACCTCCACTTGATTTTCGTTCCTCGCTTTGTTCTGAGCCCTCGTAGCTGTCGTTTCGTCGGGTTCGGTCCACGTCGCGAGCGCAGTGCCGGCCCTCGTCCCCGACGCCCGCGCGTCCCCGACCGCCGCACCGCGTTCGCCCTGGCCTGGTCTGGCGGCGGGCGCGGGCGCAGCTCACGCGCCCTGCATCCGCGCTCCGAGCTGCCATGCCGCACTGCGAAGCGCGGTCCTTTTGCGAATGCAGCGCGGCCGCATGGCTGCGGGTCGCTGCAATACGGAAGTCGTGCACGAGCCTCGTGGAGCTGGGCAGAAGCCGACCGGTGCACAGAGCTCTTGGGAATGCCGGCGCCCACCAACGGCGCGCAGGGAAACGGTGGTGCACCGAAGAGTCCGCTCAGCCATGCCTGCCAGCAAACGAATCTGCAGCGACTGAGTTCGGGGATGCTCGCGCGACCCAGAGCACTCGAAGAAAAAGGCGTCAGGACCGGCAGGCAAGGGGGGCGCGCGCAAGTTGTGAGAAGAATTCGCCATGTACCCCCTACCACGGCGCAGCGAGAGGCACAGACCAATATGCTCGCACCACTAGAAGGAGATTTCTAGTAAGGGCACAAGTGCAACTTCGCCGGAGAACAAGAAACGCAGACGCCTCACACAAACGTGATTTCCCAGAACGCTCGTCCGTGGAAGGCCGACTTGGCCCTAGTAGTGACGCACCCTACATTCCGCCGCGGTCCCCTGGCGAGACGAAGAAGCATCCTGCAAGCGGCAAGCCCGAAACAGGGAGCCCTTGAGACAGTTCTGTCGCGCAAACCACCCCAAGACCGTAGGGGAAAGACCCGCCGCCGAAACTGGCTCGTGGCCGCCAGCGGTCGACTTCGAGCGGCTCAGACCGAGGGCGTCCAGGTACGCCCGCGCGAACGCGTGTTCTCTGATGGTCAATGCTGCCGTCCCCGAGGTCCCCCGAGATCCTCGCTGCGTCCCCCCGACCTTTTCCTTTTTCCGGGGGGGGGGGGGGGCGGAAAGGCGCGGAATGCGGGGGGGAGGTGCAAGCCCGAAACAGGGAGCCCCTGAGACAGTTCTGTCGCGCAAGCCACCCAATGCGGTCAATGCCGCCGCCTTTTTTTCCAGGGGGGGGGGGGGGGCGGAAAGGCGCGGAACGCCGGGGGGGAGGGGCGGAGCGAGCGTTGACGCCCACGCCAGTGGGCACCCATCGGCTCAGCACCCTACGAGGTCGCTTCGGCAGGCAGGGGGGCGGCCGTCTGCTGAGCACTCCACGAGGTCGCCTCCACACGCGGGAGGGCGACCTCCTGCCAAGCACTTCACGAGGCCACTTCCCCACGCAGTTTTGCTACGCATTCTACGAAGTCGCCCCCCCATGCAGCAGGGAAACCTTCTCCTGACCCCTTGCCGAGGTCTTTCTCCCACGCGGAAGGGCGACCTTCCGCTACGGCGATTCAATTTGTTCCCACGCGCCCCGATGCCCGCACCACGCAACACCCGTAGTGACGCCCGCTGCCTGCATGGTGCTGTGCTAGATGCGCGTATGCGCCGCGTGGTAGGTCACGCCAGCGCAGCATGGGGCGTTGCAGCTCGCCCCGCTGGCTGCAGCCCCAACCCCGGTGCGTTTTCGGAGCACCAGACTCGGCAGGCACGGGGCTCGCACTGGCGTCCGCCTCCAGATCGAGACTCCAGTGGGCCGCAACGGGCCACCCCCGCGCCCGCCCCCGATGAGGTGCCGGCCGCGGGACCCCGCAGCCAGGCGCTGGTCAGAAGCCCCGCAGGAGCGTCGAGGTCAAGAGAGCCATCCCCGGACGCACGGGCAGCAGGGCAACCCGCTGCTGGGAGGTCGGGCCCGTGCACCTAGGGCTCATTGACTTCGTTCATGGATGCCCCATCTTGGTGTCGGATGTTTCTTGTTGATCCTCTCCGTCGCTTCACGATTTCGCGTCTCTCGTTGCATTTCTTTTTACGGCTGTATATGATTTTTATTGCGGTTGCCATTCATATTTGCGCTTGGTTCGCGAATATCATTTTTGAAATTGCAACTTTGTCCTGTCCATCAGCGATGCGAGCGCCTTGAAGCGCAAGATGTGCTCGCAGTTCGATTTCCGCAGAAGTTCATTTTCCACGCCTTGAAGAAGTCCTTCAATGTCAACTGCGTGAAGTCTCTCTTCATCAACTGTTGAAGGTGGCCAAGCGCCTCCTCATTTTGAGAACTCGCCCCACCCCCACAAAATGTGGCGTTGTTGTTTTTGGGCCCTGGGTGGGGGCCCGGGGCGAATTGAACCCAAACGAGGCCCATGCCTATGGGTTCTTAGGCGGATGTGTGCTTTAGCTTTCGTGTTCGACCTGCGTTTGCTTTCAGCGGTAACCCCGCTGGGGCAACGGGGTGGGCCTTGGGTCCATTTTGGACTCCCCCTGCTCTTTCTTTTTCCTTTCCTTCTTACTCCACGCCTTCCGCCTGAGGATCCAACGCTCGACCGCGGCGGCATTTGCGCGCGGCGGCGTGGACTAGACTAGGGAGGGGCCGCGCTCGCGCTCTCTCTTCCTCCCTCTGATGCTGCCATTGCAAAACAATCAGATGTGTTTCTTTTGGTTTGCCGCCCTCGCCATCGCGGTTGGACGCGAGCTTGAAGTTACGAGCGAGAACCTGGCCGCCTTCAAAGGCGAGCCAGGGCCCAGAAAACCCACTGGGTGAAGGGGCACGTTGGCCCTGTGGATGAGGCTACCCCGAGCAAGCTTGGACCGTCCTGGGCGCTCTTGATACCGAACGGGCGATATTCTCAAAACCGCTTCAAAGCCCAAAGGATCTGGCGCATCGGAGGCCTCTTGGGCCCTCTTGAGGCCATCTGAGGCGTCCTGGAACGCTCTCGGGCCGTCTCGCGCGCCTACCTCTTGGCCATCCAGGCGGCCTCCGGAGGGACGGACACGATGACCATGCCCAAGACTGAACGCGGAAACGTCGGTGTGGACCGTATCGGGGTGGCCCAGAGGGGGGTGATGACTAAGGGGGGGTGGATATCATGGCGGGGGTCATGATAGCTCCCCAGATTTCATGGTGCCTTTTCTTATTCCAATGCGTCCCCAGCATCCCCACCCCCCTGGGCCGCGCAAATGCCACCGGCCATGATTTGCGCCTCCCCCTCTTGGACGCCCCCCTCTTGGCCGCCCCCGAACTTAGCGCGGAAACGTCGGTGTGGACCTTGGTCATCGCCCATGTGGTCATCGTCAATTCGTGGATCGCCCTCGCGAACCCGCGACTGCCGGCACGGACCATGACCAAGATCGGCGTCGACAAGATCCTGTGACATGTTGGTCATGTCCTTCGCGTGACTTCTTTCGATGTCTGTCATTCCTTATGGTGTTACCTTGATTGTACTTCTCTTGGCTTCCTAGATAAGGTTGGACTACATGGAGTCGGGGGATCGCGCCGCATCGCCGCCGATGCATGGTTGGGGGTCTGCCATTGGGGATCATGGTCGTATTTTTTGTGAGCCTGTCGGGAGTTCTTGGGCTTTCTTGGGGTTTGGTTTTCTTTCATGTTCATCTGACATTGGCGGCGAACCCAGGGTGGAAGTGACAATGGCCGGCCTTTTCACAAGGCGGCGGGGGTTCTCAGACACCTCTTCGCCTTT